TTGGTATTAACATGTTTCTAACCTGACGAGGCAATAAGAAGCATAAAAACATGCATGCAAATATTAGGTACATTTTCTTGACTTTTTGTTAAACATTTTGTTAAGCTAATGATGCAATATTTTAATAAGCATAAGAATACATGGCATACTAATATTAAATAAAATAGTCCTGTCCTGTCGTTAACAAAGTAATGATGCAATAATAATCATACATAGCACACAAAATATTCTGTAAATGTTGAAGCGTGATGTAAGCTACTCCAAACTATCACAAAATACATAGCATATATAAATATTGTCAACAAATCTTAACATGTTACAAATATAGTGCTGGAAAAGTAATGGCTATGAAAAAAAAGATAATAATAATAATAAGAAGAAAATAAAACAAGCGTAAAAAAAAAATACAAAGAACACACACAGTTTTGCAAAGTTCGCATGTTTCATGCTAATGAAATAATATAAGTTTAATAATACAAAAATACTGTCCAAATTGTAAGCTATAAGCTAATGACACCATACTCTAAGCATAAAAATACATAGCACAGTTACATAGTATTGGATAAAATAGTCTTGACTTTTGCATGTTTCTAAGCTAATGATGCTTTAATAAGCATAATATGTAGCACACAAAGATAAGGTAAATTGGCTTGATAGCATGTTGCTAACAGCTACTAATTAGTACTCTAATTAGCGTAGAAAATACACAGCACATAACTACTGGAAAACAATTAGTGATTTTGTAATTACTGTAAATAGAATTAATATCTTTCAATGAACAAACTGTATATTTATCATATGCCATCTTGGATTTATTTTCCCTGATTTCAGTCATTCAGTATCTGATGGACACATATGATGCTGCTTTATTTGGCCAAAACATGGTATGTTTGAAGGTAACATAATTTGTTACCCACTGTTTGGATCAGCCTTCACACGATGAGAACATTTATGATTTGTTGTGTTGTGTTCTTTATGGCAGTATTGTGATGCCATGATTGAGACTCCATTCACAAGAGTGTCATGCTCATCTTTCTGGTTAACACTCTGTACGTTCCTCCTCCTGCATCTGGACACCATTTTGTTTGATCAGCTGCTGAGCCTTTCACTAGTAACACTATACACAAGAAAGCAGCATTTATGCGTGCAGCCCTTAATATTTCAAGTTCATGATGATCTGACATGATGTAAAAAAAAAAAGCATAGCAAATATATCACTGCATTCAATAAATGTACAGATTTGATTATTTGTCAGATGTTATGTATTATCCACTTATATCCATTTGTATGCAAATGTTAGCCAATCAAAAGATGGGTCATTGATATATTAAAGTATATTACATATTAAAGACACAGTAGCAACAATAACCTCCCAGAGAAAGGGTGTAAAATACTCATGTGTTTTTAATGCAAGAAACTTTGACTAAGGGTATGTTTACATGACAATTACATACTAAAACAGAAAAGTTTTTCTTAGCATTTTTGAGACTTTTTGCATGGAAGCCTGTTTCACTGAATAAAAAATAAAAAGGTAATTGCTACTTTTTATCTCACAATTCTGATTTTTTTCTGGCAATTCTTTCTGTCATATATGACTGTTTCTCAGAATTGCGAGTTTATAACAAGTAAATTTTGAGTCATAAAAAAAGTCATATTTGAGAATAAAGTCGCAATTCTGAGATATAAAATTGCAACTGTGAGAAAAAGTCAGAATTGCAAGATTTAAACTCATAATTCTGATAAATAAAATCCTTTTCAGATTTGTTTATATTGCGAATTATAAAGTCAGAATTGTGAGATAAACTCGCAATTGTAAGAAAACAGTCAGTCTTTTTTTCCTCAGAATTAGACTTTATAACTCATAATTGCGAGTTTAATTATAAAGTCAGAATTGTGAGATAAACTCGCAATTGTAAGAAAATAGTCAGTCTTTTTTTCCTCAGAATTAGACTTTATAACTCATAATTGCGAGTTTTTATCACAATTCTGAGAAAAGAAGTCAGAATTGCGAGAAAAAAATCAAAATGGCAAGATGTGGTGCAAATGGGCTTCCATAGTTTTGTGTACAGATGACAACAATGGCAAAACAATCCCTGTTCACACAGATCCATGAAAACAACTAAAAATGGTATTCATTTATTCATATTATTCATTCCAAGCCAGTAAATGGTTACTGCTTTTGATGTTTTTGTAGTTTACATGGATGCAATAATTATATTGTTTATAAAACTTGCACTTTGAAACCTGTTTTCAAAATTTATGTTTTCAGGCTCCCAAAAAGCTGTTGCCATGAAATGAATAGCCAAAATGCATAAAAATTCAGTTTTTAGTGGAAAACGGTGTGGAATTCAAGTACAAAACATTACAGTGCTTCACAAGTAATGACAATGAAAAACAAAATCTGTCTGTTTAATTACAGAAGTAAATGGATGTTTACAGGAAAGATGGTTTATTCCATTTGCAAAGTGTATTTAAAGTGGCCAAATAGGCGACTTGTGGACAGACTGATGGTGTGTGCTGTAAAACGTGTGAAACACTATACAGAACGCCCATCTGGAGTTAACCATCATGCATTTCAATGCTACATACACTGAATATGCTGATGAATAAGCTTTAGGAAAAATATCCCGACTTTCTTGGGATGTGTAACAGACCTGGTCATTTAGACTTGACTGTCTTTTCATTAAAAGTCTTCATATGCTCCAGTTCTTCTTCTAGGGATGTGACTCTAACACACATAAGAACTCACCATCCATTTAGATACTTACCACTTCTTATGCACTCCACATAACAATCACTAAATACACAACACACACACAAACCGAAAGGCCCTAATGGATTAGAGCTGCATTATCCTGTTCGTCTGTACTTAAAAATTCATCAGGCCATTAGCCAGGGCCTCTTGGTGCTGTTTGCTATTGTCCAAAGGGTTAATTATCCATAGTGGAAGCCAAATCTCTTAGGTTTGGAGTTTTAAAGACTGACATACTCATATTAATGAGTAATGTGTTATTTTACCATTCAGGACTTAATTGCAGAGATGTTATTCATTTAAGCTACATGATTTGAGCTGATGTCTCATTTCATGAATGTGATGTTGGCCTGATTAGATGCTGTCTTATTCATGTAAATTAAAAGAAATTGTAGGTTGACCTATATCACACACACATACACACACACACACAGACACACACAAAAACAATTTTCTTAAATGATGGTTCTTTGTCATGTACATCCCTGGAAGTATATGAATGTATAATCATCATTAATGCAGTCTCTTCCTGTACATGTATAGTATATTTGCTTCTTCATCAAGGATAGATTAAAAGTGCAGCTCTTTATCGCTAATACAACTTAATGCATGGGGAAATACTTTACATTTCAGGGTCTAAGAGTAATCCAGGAAGTTCAATTCTGGGCCACATCAGGGCAAGTTTATAGGCAGTGATGTCGATAAGGTCACAAGCCTAAGAGCCTTTTAGACTTTATGCTGCTTTTTATATTTTGAGAAAAGGCGATGCGGGCTGTTGTTTAGTGGACGGTTAAACAGAATGAGGGTGCAGAGAGTTAAAACTCCAGGAAAACGCATGCTGGTATTGCTGAAGATGTTTAGTTGAATTAGAAGTATTGGACTTCTGCGATAATGACCTAATGCTAATTCTAAGGACATGAATCAGAAGATGTTATCAAACAATAAAACGAAATAAAGGAAAATGGGGGGAAAGAATAGTAAATAAAAAATAAAAAATGGTGTACATTTATATGCATCAGTGTTGTTTTAGTATCATTGATTTTGGTTTTTATTATTTTGAATTTTCTGTTTTTATTTTAATTTGAGTTGTTTGTTGTTTAGTCATATTTATTAGTTTTTTATTTTCAAATATAAGCTATTTTTATTTGTAGTTTTTAGTTCTAGTTTCTATGTAGTTTTAGTTATTTTAGTACTTCAACCTAACTAAATGAAAATGTTGACTTGGCAACTAATTGAAATAAAAAAAAGTGAAATAAAATTAATAAAAAAAATGTATATATATATTTTTTTTAATGTTTAATTTCAAGTAATCAAATTTTTTGGTTTTATTTTTATTTTTAGTTAAAAATACTGTTGCATATGTACAGTATATATGTACAGTATAACCACTTGACAATGCAATTTCGCTTGTGTTCATTATACAATATTTTTTTTTACATATTTTATCAATACAGAAAAGAAAGTATTTTTAATTTCATACATTTATTCATGTATATCACAATTAATTCAATTTTTAAAATTGTTTTGTTTAATTGCTTTGTATTTTTATGCTTTTCGTGTCATTGTTAATGTGGCAGTTTTTTTTTTTAAACTATCGACAAAAGATAAAAAGACTGTACAATGACACAGAAATTAAAATCTATAAAAATGTATGTGTTTATTTATTTATAAAAAAAAATATTTATTTATTTAATTTTTTTGCAGTTATATATTTATCAGAGTACTCGCCGGGTCGTTTTTTCTAAACTTTCATTTTGTTTTATGGCATTTAATTGCTAAAAAGTCAATACCTCTGCTTAGTGTTCGGTGGTCAGTGTCATATTCAGATTTATTTACACAGAACAGCATTAATTAGAGCCACAAGCTTTTAAGACAACAATAAGCCTTCCCTCCTTTTTCCAGCCTCTTCTTTTATGTCGTAAACACCCTGATTGTTTTATTGTGTTTAAAATACATCATAAATGTTCAGGAGATGTTCTCCCCGTAGAGTTGTGGTTATCTGGGTTGCACAAGTCTATCTCGCTTTTATGTTCTTAAATATTCATAAGTAGCTTTGCAACATTAATATCTTAGATGGCTTACAAGAACACTTAAATAATATCCAGTACACCCCCCCTCCCTCCCTCTCTCCCTCTTCCCTTGGTTACTGTCGCTTTTTTCATTTGTGTAATGCACCGGCTTCTTTTCGAGATGGTCTTGGGTATTAATGGAGAAACTCCTTTAGTTTAGTCGTACAGAGAGCAATAAGATCGTAAAGGATGCTCTCAGCTGCGCCAGATCCCACATGACTAGCAATAAGAAAAAAAGATGAAAGGGAAACACTCATTTCCCTGTATATGGATGTTGTTTACTTTAGTGTTAGTGTACATTTATATGTATGAGTTTTAATGTTGTCACCTGAATTGACATTCTTTCTTACAGAAAAAAGGTTTATTTTAAAGTCATGATGAAAAGGTAGCTGTGAACATCATGCAATGGATTATGGAAAAGAAAATAAAGGTGGGCGGGAACTTAGTTCTTTGCATCAGTTGTTGATTGGATGTGGACGTAGCACTCAAAGTGGAGGCAGATTAACGTGAGCTTGAGCGAGTTTAAGTGGAGTAAATGATTGGAAATTTCCTGCATACGTCACCAGAGAGACGTCTGTATTCATCACTGGAAGACTGAGTTATGATATTTGAATGAAACATTATGAGGTCAAAATATGCATTGATGAATGTATGTATTTAGAAATAGATAGGTAAAATTTAATTTAATGCCATTTTAAGGGAATCATTTCATATACTAACTTTACAATTGAATAATCATCATATACTAGCATCCCAATTCGCATTGAAAATTCCATTAAAAAGAAGTGCACTTCAAATACTTGGATGATGCATTTAAATAACCAAAACCAAAATGGTGGAATGTTGGACATTTTATGCACTCAACTGTCGCAGTTTTCCTTTCATAGCGGATATGGAGTGCCTATCAGACTCCGATACTAGATGACGAAATAACTTTATAAAATTCATACAGTAGACAATAAAGAACGTTGTATAAGTGCAAACATAGGCTCATTGGAAATATGTGCTTCTATCTACATTTTTGCTGCTCCAAAAACGTATCTATACATACAGTTCACTGCAGTTTCCAGATGAAATGAACACTAGACGCAGTAAAACACCAACAACTTTTCCAGAGGCAGATTATCGATTAATAAAGACACAGTTCCTTGCACAATACTATGTTATGACCTCAAAAACCATGATTTACAAATAATTTATAAACTGATACATTTTGATGATTGCATCACATAACCAGCTCCATATGTACGGCCTTTATGACATAGTAAACTTGCTCAGCAGGCACACCTGATACACCATTGCACCTTCTCAAAAAGAAGCAAAATAAATGGCATGGTTGCTTCAGAAAAAAGTGTTTTTATCTCACGGTTGCTTTTGTTAACGCTATCAATTAAACTTAGGGTTGGGTTTAGTTTTGTATTCACTGGACATTTTATTTTTGAACTGCTGCTATACATACAACAAATGTTCATCTGATAAAACTGAATACGCTTTTAACATTATTCACAGGACTTTCACTTAGAACGTGTTGAGAACTTTACAGTGTAACGTAATATCATTTACATTGATTTACGATCATTTACGGCATGTTTTTCCAATGAGCCTGGGTACCTAAGTGCATAGAATATAATATGTCATTTTTGACACAGTGTTTGACACTGACTTTGCTTCCTGTCCTTTTATTTTAACACAATACAATCTTCCTACATTACATTTTGCTGACTAATTAATTTACTAGGTGTGAACTGTAATGATTTCTTGAGCAAGGTGAAGGCTTTCACTGGCCGAGCTGGTAAAAGAGCAGAGAGTTTAGCTGGGTCAACCACTGCTTAGCTGGATTAAGAGCCTCTTATTGAGTTTAATCCAGTCCCTGCTGGAGATCACTCCAACTTAATCACATCCTCTGTGTCCCACTGTCTGCTCACTGGGGTTTACAAGGAGAGGATTAAACAGACCAGCGGGATCAAGTCTAACCCGTGCAAGATGCTAATGGTCTTTCGGTGTCAGATAAACTGAGGGAAGAGTTGTTTGTACAAAAACTATTTAAAATTGGTAATTTTGCTGCATCAAATGCTTCTGCGCATAGTAAATCAAGGTAATTATGCAGACTTTCACTTCAATATATGAATGAGAGTATGAGTTATGAAGGGTTTAGGCCTTCTTAGTTAAGACTTAAACCCCCTAAATACACATTCAAAGTGTTACACATTCAAACAGACCTTACTGAACTTTAATTAAGACAACTGTTCCTAATTAGATTGTTAAAATATCAAAGATATTCCTACCTAATCCTGAGACTTTGAGAAACAGAGCGGCCCTATAACATAGCCCTGCGGTACACACCACGCACCAGCAACCAGGAGGACGAACGGCGTGCCGTCATGCCAAGCTTTGGCAGCATGAGGGGCAGGTAAGTGAACTCTAAGCGCCTGTTCATTAGTTGGCTCGAAGTCGGCAACAATCGGAGCGCGGCTTCACTTCAATAAGACAGATTTCCAGAGCGTTGTCCATGCGGCAGCTGAGGAAGCCAGATGGAAAAGAATGATAGGGCCGGGAGTGGCGAGGTTCATCAAAGTCACCTCGCACTTCACCAGTCATTTTTCAGCCACTGAGGGGCCGCGTACCTTGAGCCCACCTGTGAGGTATATTGGACAAATTGAAAGA